TGAGTTGATGGACCGATGCTCTGCCTTCATATGAGGCGGCTTCATTTAGGGAGAAGTCATGGCTCAGTGGCAGAGCATCTGCTTGGTGTGCAGAAGGTCCCAGGTTCAATCCCCGGCATCTCCAGTTAAAAAAGGATCAGGTAGGAGGTGATGTGAAAGAGTTCAGCCTGAGACTCTGGAGTGCTACTGCCTGCCTTAGTAGACAAGACTGACACTGATGGACCCAAGAGGTCTGATTCTGCGTAAGGCACCTTCGTGTAAGCTTCATGAACCTTTGGACCCACCCCAGCGAGTCTAATATAATGTGCACACTTAAGCTGCCATCCTGAAGACACTTTCCTGGCAGTAAGATCTATTGAATAACACGGGGCTTACTTCTGGGCAGACTGTCTTAGGATTCCTCCCCCATTGGCATAGTTGTCGTTGATCTGTGGTCTTTTCCGTACACGGTTCACCGCACGTTCTCTGAACGTCTACAGCAGAACTGCATAACTTATGACCCGTGCAGCTTAGATCAGGGGTGTCAAACATGCGGCCCAGGGGCTGGATCAGGCCCCCGGAGGACTTCCATCAGGCCTGCAGTGGAACTGGCCATCTCCTGCTTCCAGTTCTGCTGCTGCTGCTGCTGCATCATAGCTTGCTTCGCCAGACTCTCTTAATCGCTCAGCCATTTCGTGTTTTAGCCTGGGTCCCAGACTCAGAACTCTGAGCATGTGCGGGAGCAATGAAAACTGTATATGATTTTAGAGACAGAAAGCCGAAGTAACGGCAGAAGGACTCTAATAAATGGCTTTTTGAAATAAAGAAGATGCTCAGAAAGTGCTCTCATAATAACTAATTTACTAATATAGAACAATGTGAAAAACAAGAACTCTACAAGTATATTATTTTACTAACTCTTTTAATACTAATATTAAGGTTAACATAAAGGGGGTCTCCCACTCTTGGGTTTTTAGTTAGTGTGGGTTTCTTTCCTTTATCCATAGTTGTAGTTCCCCTTCCTATATTTTTCTTTGTAGTTTGTAGTCTTATTGAAAAAATAAAAATACCCCTCCGGGGGTTTAAAAAAAGAAAAGAACTCTGAGCATGAGATTTCTGTGGTGAATGTCAATAAATCAAAACTAGGTTCGCAGCTTACACACATGAACAGCATGCTCAAGATTGCAACAGCACTGACATTTTGATGCAATAATTCAGAGCAAGAGGTGTCAGTTATCAGACACTGTATATTGCAAGAGTGCTGATGTTTTAAGCATGTTTGTATTTTAAGTTTTAAAAAACCCCTTTGTGTTTGTGTCCTTTATAAAGTTTATATCTCTGCTACCTGGCATTACATTTTTGACACACACGGCCTGGCCCAACAAGGTCTCATCTATGTCAGATCCAGCCCTCATAACAAAGGAGTTCGACACCCCTGGCTTAGATCTACAGAAAGGTACATGAGAACCTGTCTCTTTTTCTGCAGTCTTAGGCAGTGGACAAAGACAGATTTATTAAATCTCTGGTAGGCCCCACCCATGGCAGGTTGACTAGATTTGGCTCAATGGGTGATGTCCTGAACTAGATGCCAGTTTAGAAGTCGGCAGCCTTTTTGGGGCTTTGAAAAAAATAACTCAGTGTCTGCCTGGTGTGCTGGATTTCAGTTTTTCTGTGTCATCTACAAACCAAAGCATTCTATCTGAAGCACATTGTTTTCCCCCTATGGAATTGCTGACATTTGGGAATAGCTGTTTCAGATGTTAATATTCCTTCCCTGTTCGGACATCTCTCTTTATTAATGGATGCCACGTGGCGTCTTTATTCAGTTCCATAAGGGTGGGGAAAATTCTTGTTGGTTTCACAAGTTGGCTTGTCGATTTCCTCAGTTCATTTTAAAATTAAAGCATTTCTGGTATGGATGTCCAGACATCTGTTTTTTCAACGAAAAAAGAACGAGCATTTCTGGTATGGATGTCCAGACATCTATTTTTTCAAGGAAGAAGAAAAAAGAACAGAGAGAGACTGGGCCAGAGAGAAATTAATAGGGTTTCCCCCTGTCTTTAGTGAAACTGACATGGCTTAGTAAGTTTCATCAGTAGCTCACATCAAGGCCTGAGGGAAGATGGAGAGGGAAATATAGAAAAGGGGGTTAGGCCGCGTCAGCGGCATTGGAATACAGTTACGAGGCAGTATGGGTCAAGATCTGGGGCAGACCAGTGGAAGAAGGGCTTCCCCTGCACTAGGTGGAAGGAATGTGAACATAACAATAAGAGTGTTACATGCATTAATTGAAGCAACAAGGGAGGAAAGGTTTCCGTTGATCGTTCAGTGCTTGAAAATGCACATATGATTTTTTTGGCTTCCGTCCTCGCTGAGCCACAAAGCCGCCGAGACGAGCTGTGTCCTCAGATCCTCGTCAGGAATATTAATGATCTGCCTGGAATGGGTTTTATGAGGAATAAAACTGAAAACTGAGTACTGTAAAGCGGTTCTACCAAAGGCTATAGGAACGATTCGTTTTCTGTTCTCATGCCTTGTTTTGAAGGTACTTTGCATCATTTATACCCCTGTGAGAGACTCAAAGTGGCTTACTTTGTCCTCCTCTCCTCCATTTTGTCCTCACAATGACCCTGCGAGGTAGGTTAGGCCGAGAGTGGCCTAAGGTCACCCAGCAGGCTTCCATGGCGTAGTGCTGGGTTCGACTGTGACTCTTCCAGATCCGAGTCTGATACACCAACCGCACGCTGGTTTTCTAAGTAATCATCCTAATATGACATTTAGGATAATAATGCAGGCATAGTCGAAGCTTATAATAAGCCATATGATGCTGTGGTTTGCCAATCTGTAGAAGAAGAAACCAAAAAGTGATCTGGGTTTTGCATACTTTGGACCATGTCAGTCATCTTTACAATCGATATATCCTATTTTTTCTTATTAACTAACAGTGCAGTCCTTAACAGGGTTATACCCTTTTACATCTGTTGAAGTCAACGAGGTTAGAAAGCGGTGCGCCCTCTAAGCTGAGTTAGTGTGAGCTAGCTCACAGTTTTTTAGCCTCCAGCTCACACATTTTTTGTCTTAGATCAGAAAGGACGGCTCCAGAGCAGACTAATCTATGCCGTAGCCAAATCACTCGCTCACAACTTTAATGCTAGTAGCTCCCAAAGTAGAATTTTTGCTCACAAGACTCCACAGCTTAGAGGGAGCATTGGTTAGAAGGTGTAACTCTATTTAATATAGCGCTGTAACACCCCAGTCCTGTGCAGAGTGACTCCAGTCTAAGCCTGTTGACTTCAGGTGTAGTGGTTAAGAGCACAGACTCTAATCTGGGAGAACCTGGTTTGATTCCCCACTCCTCCACTTGCACCTGCTGGATGACCTTGGGCAATTTGTCAGAGCTGTTCTCTCAAGGACAATTCTGGAAAAGAGCTCAGCCCCACCTACCTCACAGGGTGTCTGTTGTGGGGAGGGGAAGGAAAAGGAGTTTGTAAGCCGCTCTGAGACTCTGAGTGAAGGGCGGGGTATAAATCCAACCTCCTCCTCCTCCTCCTCCTTAGAATGGAGTCACTGCACCTAGGATCGTGGTGTCACAGTCTGGCTGCAGTCTCCAAATTTTTCAAAACGGTTCTTGAAAACTGGATGCAGCCAATGGTTCATTGGGGGCAGGAGCCGTTTCCACCAGTGTTGCTTAAATTAAATTAAATTGTCGAGAGTGAGTGTGGTGTAGTGGTTAAGAGGGTTGGGCGGGCTGCTAATGGGGGGGAGTCAATGGTTAATTGGGGGCAGGAGCCGTTTCCACCCGTGTTGCTTAAATTAAATTGTCAAGAGTGAGTGTGGTGTAGTGGTTAAGAGTGTTGGGCGGGCTGCTATCTGGGAGGCCTGGGTTGGAATCCCCCCTCATGCCATGGAAGCTCGCTGGGTGACCTTGGGCCAGTCACACTCTCTTGGTCTGGGCTTCCTCACAGGGTTGTTGTGAGGATAAAATGGAGGAGAGGAGAAGGACGGAAGCTGCTTTAGGTCCCTGTTAGGGGAGAATGGCAGGGTATAAATTAAATAAATTCTTGCGTTTCCTGGGGCCGTAAACAGAATTTTTTTAAAAGAACCTGGATTTTGTTGAAATTCATATATTTGATTTTTTAAAATAGCTCTTCTCTATTTGCTTCCTTGCATGGAGAACAGTCCCTGTTCTCCTCTTTGACCGGGCCAACTTCTGTCTCAACATGTTGGAATATCTTTATTTACAGACCTCCTCCCTCTTTTAGCCCCAATGGATCCCAAGGCATGTAATAATTAGAACCGTTCAAGCTTCGAAAGGAAACCACAAAGCCAAGAGGCAGAGAAGGATAACTAAAAACAGCAGGAGGGAGTAATCAAACATAAAATTGCCCATGGTCGCCTGGCCAGAAATCCATATCCTACTCCTCCCACTCGAAATAAAAAGGTTTGCATATATGTTACATAGGGTTGCCAACTCCAGCCTGGAGAATTCCTGGTGATCCGGAGGTGGTGCCAATGGAGGGAATTTGGAGAAAGTTCTTTCTTAGAATCTATGACACATCTGACTGAAGCTGCAATTTTCTGCAGGGGAACCGATCTCTGTAGGCTGGCTATCCGTTGAAATTCTGGGAGACCTCCTGGAGATTGGCAACGTCTGTAGATGAGATCTAAGGTGGCTGAACGTCTTTTACTTTTGATTGCAATTGGAAGCATTTCAGCTGCGGGGCCCTCTCGTTCGTGGCGATTAAACGCCGCCGCTGCCGTTTGCCGGATTTGCGCTTCCCATCTCGAGTGTTTGTATTTACTATAGGTTTGAATGGAAATGCCAAAAAATGTCTTGGGTTTCCCTTTCGGCAGGCAGCGTTCCCGATGGCCAATGAGCAGGCCGCTGCATGGGGCTGACGTCACCCGCGGTGCTCTCAGCCTTCTAGAGGACCGTGACTCGGTTGCCAGGGCGACGGCAGAGCATACTCTCCGAGCTGACTCCCCGCCCTGACATCGAGGCCCTTCCGCCACTGCCTGGATGTCTGTCTCGCCGCTCTCTTCTGGCTGGCTGGTAGAATGGCATGGCAAGGCCTAGCCCTGGAGAAGGAGCAACTGTGAACCCACAAAGCAAATGGTGAGTGGGGAGAGGCGGGCAAGGGTGGGCTCGGAGGGGCGATCGGCCAGGGGCACCCAGAGGGTACCCTTCCCTTGGTGGCCAACGGTGGACGTGTGCGTCTGCACTGGATCGAAACGTCCAAAGCCAAGAGATGGATTTGACACGCAGTGTTGGAAATGGGGTGGGCGTTTGTCACCTTCTGCGCAGGTATTGGATGCGGGGGACACACGCAGCATCCCGTGTTGTAAATTTTGGGGTTTGTGGATGCGAATAACGGGCAGCCTGGTTCGACGCTTGAAATCAGGCCGCAGTACTGTCTGTCGAGGAAAACCTCTGGAATCTCTTAATGTGGATTTGTTTCCTGTTACTGCTTTGACAGTCTTGGAAACAGGGGTGCAAAGCGGGGTAAGAAGGTGGATTTCAGCTCTCCTCATCTGTTTTCTGTGGCCCCAGAAGGTCGGACCAGAACCAGTGGGTTGAAATTGAATCAGAAGAGTTTTCAGCTAAACATTCCGAAGAACTTCCTGACAGAGCGTTTCCTCAGTGGAACAGGCTTCCTCGGGAGGTGGTGGGCTCTCCTTCTTTGGAGGTTTTCCGACAGAGGCTAGATGGCCATCTGACAGCAATGCTGACTCTGTGAACTTTGGCAGATCACGATAAGGGAGGGCAGGAAGGGTGGCATCAGTGCTTAGTTCTCGTGACCCTTTCTTACACGCCCAGGGAAATGCCGATCGCCACATTGGGTTCAGGAAGCAATTTTTCTCCAGGCCAGTTTGGCTGGAGATCCTGGAGGGGTTTTTTTTGGTCATCTTCTGGGCATGGAACAGGGGTCACTGGGGGTGTATGTGGGGGGAGGTATTTGTGAATTTCCTGCATTGTGCAGGGGGTTGGACTAGGTGACCCTGGAGGGCCCTTCCAACTCTATGATTCTATGTTTGGGTGCATGCTTGATGGCACAGGGTGTCTCTCTGTGTTTAGCAATCTGTCAGCACGGGAATGGTAACTTCTGCAGAAATTATTACGGTATTTGCTGGTGTGATGTTGTGTCTGTGGCATGCATGTGTCGTGAAAGAGTTGGGGAAAGTCGCTCCTTTCCTGTCTTTCGATCACCCTGGTGGTAGATACAAAGCAGTGGTTATTGTGAAATGAAGCAGGTTTCTAGAGATCTGGAACTTTTTCTTAATATGGGGAGCTTATCGGGATTGGGGGCTGGGGGGAGGAAGAAGAGGAGGAGGAGATAGGATTTATACCCCGCCCTTAATTACCCAAAGGAGTCTCAGAGCGGCTTACAAACTCCTTTCCCTTTCCCCTCCCCACAGCAGACACCCTGTGAAGTAGGTGGGGCCGAGAGAGCTCTTTCGAGAACTGCTCCTGAGAGAACAGCTCTGAAAGAACTTGTGACTGACCCAAGGTCACACCAGCAGCTGCATGTGGAGGAGCGGGGGATCAAACACGGTTCTCCCAGATTAGAGTCTGCCGCTCTTAACCACTACGTCAAATTGCTGCTCAGGTCTTTGGAAACTGTGTCCATACAGGAGCTGGGTTTGAATCCAGTAGCGTCTTAGAGACCACAAGATTTTTAGGGGCACAAATTTTTGAGAAGCAAAGCTGCCTTCGTCAGATACACTCAAAAACTCATCCACTGAAAATTTCGTTGGTTTCTAAGGGGCCACTGGGGGCTCGAATCTCACTCTTCTACTGCAGACCAACACGGCTACTCTCGGAGGGTTTCTCTTCTGCCACAGCTGGATGAGCCTATGTGAATCTGTCCGAGTCCTGGGCTCTCAGCCCCCGGGGAAGAAGGGGCAGAGCGGGGATACAGTCCCGACGACGGCTGCTGCTCAGTTGCAGAGCCACGGAGAGAGCTGGTTGGGCCGGCAAGAGCAAGGGAGGGGCAGACAGGAGGAAAGCCAGTCAGGACTGTGGAGCAAAGGCCTCCAAAGGCTCCCTGTGGAGCAAAGGCCTCCTCTGGGGCAAAGGGCTCCTTGAGAAAAAGATGTTGGTCAGGAGTAGGAGGGAAACTGGGAATGGCCAGGAGAAGAGGGATAAAAAAGGCCCCCCATCTGAAGGAGGTAAAGGGGGCAGCTGGCTGGGAATTGGGAAGGAAATGGGCTCGCCAACCTCCAGGTAGTGGTGGGAGATCTCCCGGATTGACAACTGATCTCCAGGCTACAGAGATCAGTTCCCCTGGTAGCTTTGCAGGTGGACTCCGTGGCATTATACCCTGCTGAGGTCCCTCCCCACCTCGAACCCCGCCCTCCCCCGGCTTCATCCCCCAAATCTCCAGGTATTTCCCAACCCAGAGTTGGCATCCCAGAAGGAGGTGTGGCCAGCCAGGCTCGATGCCTTTGCAGGCCAGAGATTACCAAGCCACCTGTGGATACATGGAAAGTGAGATTTCTGGCCCCGAAAGACGGCAGAAGGATCTTTTCCCACTTGACCCAGTTGGACTGGCTCACCTTGGCTGAACCCTGCAGAACGGGTGCAGCGCTCAGGGCAGAAACTTAAGGAGTTGGGAGAAGGACTCACGCTGGGAAAGTAGCCCCAGCATCTCGATGGGAGCGAGTAGAGATGACGAGAGGTAGCATGGCTGGGCTACGGGGTGGCCCTTCACCCCCTAGAGTTGGCATTATAAAGGTGCCAAGTAAGTGGAAGTGTCACGGTTACTGTTCTGGTGGGTTGGGTTGTCTTGATTTGCCAGTTTGGTGTAGTGGTTAAGTGCGCAGACTCTAATCTGGGAGAACCGGGTTTGATCCCCCACTCCTCCACATGCAGCTGCTGGTGGGACCTTGGGTCAGTCACAAGTTCTCTCAGAGCTGTTCTCTCAAGGGCAGTCTTCAAGAGAGGGGAAGGGAAAGGGATTGTAAACCGTTCTGAGACTCCGTCGGGTAGTGAAGGGCGGGGTATAAATCCAATATCTTCTTCTTTATGTACCATGGGAAGAAGATGACATCTCCACAGAGAGATGTGGCCCCTGGCCCTGGGGGTACCACAGAAGCTAAGCCTTGCTTACAGCTAGTTTTTGTCTTTTGGAGGCTGGTCTGGCTGTTGCAGACATGTATATGAGTCCTTGGGAATGTCAATTCCAGAAAGTCCTCTGTCTGGTATTTTGCTGAGTCTGTTTCAATTCAATGAGGGAAGCGGGAGTAAAAGAGGAAAAGGGTGAGTCAGCGGATGATGTAAGTGCTAGGCACGTTGACCCACCAAAGGAGTATATTGATATTGCTACCAAATAGGTTTCTGTGCCCTTTGTTTTGGCCAGTCATTGTACTATCAAGGAAGGCTTGCTAGATCCTAAATAAGCAGGAGTCTGCGTTGCCATTTCCCTAATGGTGCCAAACTGACAGCAGAGAGTAACTATGTGCTAATCCCTCGCAGATGTCAGCAACCGAGATGTATGATCAAACTAGCACAACCGCTTAATGTAAATGTGGTGTGGCTGGATCCCCCCCCCTCCCCCAGCATCTGGAATTTATTTTCTGAGATGAACGAGGGGTGGCATTCGAAAGGATGGGGTGCTTCTAGGTGATTGATGGACCGAGGGCACGCGAAGCCAGAAGGGTGGGATTAGATAGTAATCCTGAGCAATTATAATTAATTATATTTATACCCTGCCCATCCTGCGAACAGGCTGAGTGATAAAAGTGCATTTCAAATGTTCAGAGAGTGGCTGAGACTTTGAGCATCTGTTGGCTATCGGGCGACCTGTCTGGAGTCGAGCAGAGCCTGGGCCCTTCCCCTCGTGGCTTTGGCTGTGTGACATGGGCTCTCTGAGGTGGGGACGGGGGGCTGCCTCCTTGGATATCTCCAGGAGGTGCTGCAAGGCCTGCCCGTTTGCCCGCTGTGTGTGTGTGTGTGTGTGTGTGTGTGTGTGTGTGTGTGTGAACAGCAGACATGTTTTCAGGCGGGAAGGGGGAAGACATTTGGGGCTTGCTCTTTTGTGGCCCCGGTCACACAGGCCGGATATCGCGGGGGGGAGGCGTGGCTAATTTCCCCGGCGCAGTTTGATGCGCGATTACGCGATCAGACGTGCCGGCGGCACACCACGGGTCCTTCCCTCGGCGCTGGCGGGTAAATGAGGGACCAGAGGGGAATGCCGTGTGCCAGGCGCGATCACACCACGGGCGTCTGGAGGCAGCCCATGGCAAACGTTTACTAGTACCTTGGAGGTACTCGTTTTTTAAGGTGCATTGTCGGCGGTAAGCCATGGGTGCGCTCCACTTCCCAGATGTTGGGGTGTGATCGCGCCCGGATAATCCGCCCACCATCTGTGCCTCTCCCGCGGCAACTTTGCCGTGTGACCGGGGCCTGTCTTTGGTTTCAGCTGGGGATGTTTTAACCAGTCTCGTAAGCCACCTTGAACCCCAAGGGGAAAGGCAGAAGGTAGATGTTTTAGGAAGTAAATACATACGCTCAAGACTTCTTCACTGTAGCGGACTCAGTGCAAGAGAGGTCTCCAGCCCTTTTGAGCTTGTGGGCACCACTGGAATTCTGACATAGCCTGGTGGGCGCAGCCGCAAAATGGCTGCCGCCAGAGGCGGGGCCAGCTGCAAAATGGCTGCCGCTAGAGGCGGGGCCAGCCGCAAAATGGCTGCCGCAGCTTACTTTCAGTCACACAATGAAGATCCTTGAGGTGTGGCCGCAGCTGTTGCCAAAGCGACTTCTAAATAAAAATCCACCCAGCCAATCAGATCTCCAGTGGGCTCTCAGAAGTCTTGCTGGGCAAAGCCCCACCTGGCCTTGCCCACTTTCTAAAAGCATTTGGTGGGCTCCAAGAAAGGTGCCGGTGGGCAGCACGTTGGGGACCCCTGCTGTACAATATCATCTCCCAAACAGAGGTCTGCTGGAGCGGGTGAGAGAGTGAACCATGCAAAATACTTTCTGTGCTCCCTGAACCCGTAGCCAATATTGTCTTTGTGTCTTTTTTTCCATGGTGAGGACCAGGCATTTTTACAGTAAGTTATAGAGATGTTGCCACGTTGTCGTGGCATTTGCCAACGGTAGTCACCCCCACCCCCGCATCTATTTCTTGTCTTTTAGGACATCAAAGGCCAATACTGGACTGATGATGATTCTGATGGAGACAATGAGTCGGAAGAATTCCTGTACGGAGTACAGGTGAGGGGCTTGGTATCCCGGGAGGGCAAAAATAGTTTGGGATTTTCTTGCCCAGTCGTGGCAGGATTGTGTGAAATTCCCTGTGGAGTTCTGGGGCAAGCAACAGGGGTTTGTCGCTTAGGCGCGTGCAGTCAGATCTCAGACGGAATGCACTTCATTTGCAAATATCCTTATGCACAGTCCAAATTTAAAATTTAGTGGCATCTGGAAGTAATCGGGAACGGTCTTTAATCCTTGACATTCTAATATTTCACCGAGGCTGTTTCAGTCCAATGAAGGGAGCAGGAGAGGGTGAAGCAGTAGGTGATGTGAGTGAGAGGGACGTTGACCAACCAGCAGAATGTATCAATGTTGCAACTAGAGAGGACCGAACTAATATGTTCCTGTGCTCTTCAGCCATTGCACTGTCAAGGAGGGCTTTTGGGGTCTCAGAGAAGCAGGATTAGTGCTGCCGTTTCCCTACCCATGAATAATACTTTCTCGCGGAGAGATTGTGCATTTAAAGGCTTGCGTTGCATTTGCAACTGCTACTGGAGCGGCGTCGGAGGGGGGCGCCTGGGCAGCTTTATTCTGCTGAAGTCAGCCTGAGCCCCCTCAGTACGTAATTCATTGAGGGTTCTGCTTCCCTGCTGCAGTTTCTGTGTGCATGTTTCCGCAGGGGACCTGTGCGGCGGACCTGTATCGCCACCCACAGTTGGACGCAGACATCGAGGCGGTGAAGGAGCTGTACAGCGAGAATTCCGTGTCAGTCCGGTGAGTACCGGGGGTCTAAACTTGGGATCACTTGGGTGGGCGGCGCCGGTTTGGTGTCCTGTCCCGTATGTTCTTGTGAGTGATCTTGGTTTTTCTTATGGAGCCTGTCTTGAAGGGTCAAGTGGCACATGGTGTTGGGGTTGGCTGCAGGGAGCCGAGTGTGGATCATGGCTTGCCGCAGTTCTGGGGAAAGTTTATAGCTTAATCTCCATGCCATTGCCTCCTTTTAAAATGTCCCCCTCTCAGCTGCTTTCAGCATACTATGGGGGGGGGCACATGAAGGTACCTGTATCATATCCAGGGTTTTTTTTTCCAATCAGGGTTTTATAGTACTCTTGGTGGGAGAGGAAAAGACTACTTTACATGGAGAGCGATTAAAATGTGGAATCTGCTGCCGGTGGAGGTAGCAATGGCCACAGGAATAAATACCTTTGAAGGGGGATTAAAAAGATCCATGGAGGATAAGTCTATCGATGGCTATGAGCCACGGGGAATGAGGGGAGCCTCCACATTTGGAGGCACTGATCCCAGAGTTAGGAAGCAACATCAAGGGAAGGCTTCAGCCTCTGTGCCCTATTGTTGGCCCTCCAGAGGAACTGGTTGGCCACTGTGTGAGACAGGATGCTGGACTAGATGGACTACTGGTCTGATCCAGCAGGGTTCTTCTGGTGTTCTTAGGAAGGCCTTGGCCATTATGCCCTGTTGCTGGCCCTCCAGAGGAACTGGCTGGCCACTGAGTGTGACAGGATGCTGGACTAGATGGACCACTGGTCTGACCTAGCAGGGCTCTTCTAATGTTCTTATGAGATTTCACTTGGAGGGGGAATGGCACAGGGGAGATACAGCCCACCTCCCCCTTCCTGGGGTGGGCAGCCCAGTCCCCTTTTGGAGCCAGTGGCTTCGGAGTGCCAAATCACACTCTGGGAACTCTCGTTGTGGAATCCTGGCATCCCGTATCAGTTAACGCTGAAAAGTGTAATATCCCTGTCTTGAATATTTTCAACGTGTGAGTCTAAAGAAGGACATTGGAAACGTACGTGTTTCCGGAATAGCCCGTCAAATCACTGCTGGGATCAGAGCACTTGAGAAGACTTGGTGTCTCCTTGGTTTCAAACGGGAGAAGAGTCCTTCCTTCCCCGTCTAAATGCAGTTGCTTCGAAACAGCAGTGTGGTCTTTTTTCAGGGGCGTTGCTCCAGCTCCTGCCAAGAGCCTTTTGCAGATTGCATTGCTGAGCTTCAGCTGGCCTGGGGCAAATTCCCTTTCCCCCCGTCTTCTGAAGCGGAATCGCCAATTAGCAAGAGCAGCCGCAGCGGGAAGGCTGCACCCGGAGGGAGAAGCCAGAGGTGGTTTGGAGCTGGCGCACTGAAACTGGGACCTCACGGGCCACGTGCACATCCCCCTCAGAGCTGAGGCGGCCACCCCAAATGGATATCTCGGGGGTTCTCTTTGCACAGAAGGGGCTGTGGGAACTCCATGAAACTGCTGAGCAGTCAGGTTAGAACGGATAAAAGGAAGTCCTTCTTCACCCAAAGAGTGATTAACACGTGGAATTCACTGCCACAGGAGGTGGTGGCGGCTACAAGCATGGACAGCTTCAAGAGGGAATTGGATAAATATATGGAGCAGAGGTCCATCAGTGGCTATTAGCCACTAGGTAAAGATAGGAACTCACAGGTTGGGGCAGGTGATGCACTGTATTCTTGGTGCTGGGGGGGGGGGCAACAGTGGGAGGGCTTCTAGTGTCCTGGCCCCACTGCTGGACCTCCTGATGGCACCGGGTATTTTTGGCCACTGTGTGACAGAGTGTTGGACTGGATGGGCCATTGGCCTGATCCAACATTGGCTTCTCTCGTGTTTTTATGCGTGTGGCATTAAGCTGTGCGGAAACCGTGGGGGGAAAGTGTTCATTTAAAAGAAAAAGAAAAAAAAACCAGGTCTAATGTGGGTCACAGCTGGGGGATGGCTCTTGGTGAGCCAACAGTGCTTTACCCTGCAAACTCAATTTTGGAAAGACTTTGGATGTGCGAGAAGGCATCCCAAGGGGTTTGCAAAGAGAGGCAGGAGGCGTGCCCCTTCCCCTCAGGTTCTTCCAAAAGGCAGCAGGAAAGTGATCGCTCGGTAAGGGCTCAGGATCCAGCAGGTGAAGCTGCGTGGCCCACCTGAAGGTCCCGATCTCTGGTTTGAAGACCACGAGGGAAGAAGGTTTCACATGACGGAGCCACAATTCCCTACACCAGGAATACAGAGAGAGTGCACGGGATCGGCACAGGCAACATAAAGCTTGGAGAAGTCAGACACATGCATCTAGCTCCCACAGCCAAGGGAGGACAGATCCAAGTCCCAGGCTGACTGAAGGTGTGCATACAACAGTCCCTCAGTGGAATGTTTCTGTCTCTCTGAGCAGGAAATGGGTCAGAATGGTATGCATCTGCGGAGTTGTCTGCTCATTCCTATTTTAAGGGGGACAGCTAAATCAAAGTTGCAGTAATGAGAGGCATTTCAGTACGAGTTCGTCTCTGTATCTGGTAATAAGAAGCTGGACCTGTTCTGTGGCGAGTTGTGTTCGCTATATTCGGTAGGGTTATGCTTTTCTGGAATAAGGGCATATGGTAGCCTTGCTGGAAAACTCTTCCTCCAGCTCTCGTTCTTCTCATTCTTTCTCTTGCTGGTCTTTTGCTAATCCTTTCTCCTTTCCTCCACAGAGAATATGGGACCATTGACGACGTGGATATTGACCTGCATATCAATATCGGCTTTCTAGATGTGAGTAACAGACACATGGTAGCATGTGAAGGGGTGAGTTGCTGTGTATATGCTTGTACTCAGTCCTTCCAAGAATTTGTAGGCCAGACATTTGAGAGCCTCCCTCACTGGGAATTCTCAAACTTCCTTAGCAGTTTTCAGTAATGGGGCAGTAATGTTACTTTTCTGGGGCTGTAGCTCAGTAATTGATCATCTGCTTGGCATGGAGAAGCTCCCGGGTTCAGATCCTGACATCTCCAGTTACAGGGATCAGATAGTAGGATTGATTGATTGATTAATTAGCTTTTTATTCGTCACTCACCTGAAGGTCTCGTGGCGACTCACAACATGGAAACTAATGAGGTTAGCAACAACATGAAAAGAGATAATAAATATCAACGATGAACATTAAAATATTAAAACGTGTGGTTATCACCGTACCACTATTTAAACAGCCCAAACATGCGGTTACCCTCCAAAGGCCAACCTAAACAACTCAGCTTTGCACGCCCTGCGACACGAAGCAAATTTGACAGGGCATGGGTGTCGTCTGAGATTTCATTCCACAGGGGTAGGGGCCACAGCTGAGAAGGCCCTTCCCCTGAGGACAGGGAAAACCTTGAGCTGAGCCCCTGGCTTAGTGGTAGAGTATCTGGTTACCATGCACAAGGTCCAAGGTTCAATCCCTGGCACCTCCCGTTACAGGGATCTGGTGGTAAGTGGTGGGAAAGACCTTGACCTGAAATCCTGGTTCAGTGACAGAGCATCTGCTTTGCATGGTGAAGGTCCCAGGTTCGATCCCTGGCATCTCCAGTGACAAGGATCAGGTAGTAAATGATGGGAGAGACCTGAACGCAGGACCCTTGAGAAAAAGGTCATAAGACTTCTGTCTTCATCCTGGATAGGAGGATGCTCTGCTGTTATGAGTGAAGGGTGTGGGAAGAAAGAACAATAAAATGAATGCCATGAAACTGAAAATGCAAAAACTATCAGTTGATCTAAAGCCTGGATATCTGTATATTTCTGTGTAGTTTATCTAATTCTCACATTTTTAACACACACACACACACACACACACACACACCTTCTACCAAGGAACTCAGGGCAGAATCACAGTTCTCTCCTCCATTTTATCCTCACAAGAACCCTGTAAGTTGGGAGAGGCTGAGACAGAAAGAGTGAATGGCCCAAGACCACCCAGTGGTTAAGTGGGAATTTAAACTTGGTCCTAGCTCAGTATGCTCACCACTGTCTTAACCTGACTGCATATAATAGAACGTGTATGGCTCAAAGTCTAAGAAACGAGAGTACCATGCAAATAAAGATGCTTTTGGGTCTCAGGCACAAGGATAATATATGGGTCACCGTAATTCGGTCGTGATGGCACTTTCTGCCACCAATATAGATGAGGGATGACATTTCAGCACCACGGACAGCTCATGTTATTCCATGAATGTCCTCCTTATGAGGGTAGGAGGGATTTGGATCTTGCTATTTTACCTTTGGTTTTTAGTTAGGGGACGTTTTAATCATTATTGTAAGCCATGGTGAACCAAGAGGAAAGGTGGGGTATAAATGTCCTGGTAAATAAATAAAGTCCCTTGATACTCAAGATCCTTTGATAATCGATATGATTCTGTTGAATGTCCTTATGTAGAGACTGATTCTGTTGGAGCTTCCAAACTGTGGAGTCTAATCCCCAAAGAAGAGCTTCATTCTTACTGTCTCTCCAAAGGCAGACTAAGATTTTGCTTTTCTTTCTCAGTGATTTCTTTGGCTGTTGATTTAGAGGTTCTTTGCTCTACCAGGATTATCAAGTTGGCTTTTCAGCTGTCATTTTAACTCCCAGCTTTGCAAATACTTAGGTGGTCATAAATGTTGTGCACTGCATTGAAGTCTACTGGAAACAATGCAGGAGACATTATAATATGTACAACCAACAGGGGAATAAAACTGGATTATATACATTAGACAGCCAGTCACTAAAAACAGTGTAATAGATACAATACAACAATAAAATACATACAACAAACAATTCTATTAAAAAATCTGGATTGCAAAATTGGAGAATACAATTTAGAAAACTGTATAATACATACAATAAAGTAGGATTCCAAAACTGAGGTACAATCCTTTATTATTATTATTAATAATAATAATTTCTCAATTTTTAACGCTTCCAACATTCAACATTTCAGTGTTTTACAACAATACAACATATCTGATATTTGACCATTGTTATTTAGCTCAACTATCACAGTATTATTTAAACCTTTACATAATTAAATATCACAATGTCTACCAACAGAAATCAAAAATATATCATATCATGGTACAGGGGATTATTAGGTAAAATATCGTTTTCTATCAGGTGACTTATTACTGGATACCAAACTGCTACTATTTTTTCCCTGTAATTAACTGGAGGTGAATTAGGTATTTTAAAAGTTATTTTACTTAAAATAAAATGATCCCATATTCTGAAGAACAGTTTAACAAAACAATGAGGAGAGGCTGAAGGAGCGGGTTGTGTTTACCTTGGAGAGGAGATGACTGAGAGGTGATATGATCACCATCTTCAAGTGTTCGAAGGGATGTCATATAGAGGACGGGGCAGAGTTGTTTTCTGTTGCCCCAGAAAGTCAGACCAGAACCAGTGGATTGAAATTAAATCAAACGAGTTTTTGGCTAAACTTTAGGAATAACCTCCTGACCATTAGAGTGGTTCCTCAGTGGAACAGGCTTCCTCTGGAGGTGGTGGGCTCTCCTCCTTTGGAGGTTTTTAAGCAGAGGCTAGATGGCCCTCTGACAGCAATGCTGATTCTTTGGACTCAGGCAGATCAAGAGAGGGAGGGCAGGGAGGGATGAGCCAGCGCTCAGCTCTTGTGTGCCGTTCTTACATGCCCAGGATAATGCTGATCACCACTTTGGGGTCAGGAAGTAATTTTCCTCCATGCCTGATTGGCCCAGGGATCCTGGAGGTTTTTTGCCTTTCTCTGGGCATGGAGCAGGGGTCAGTGGAGGGTGAGGAAGTTGTTGTGAATTTTCTGTGTTATGCCGGGGGTTGGACTAGATGACCCTTGAGGTCTCTTCCTGCTCTATGTTCTGTGTTATTTTATTTACTGTATTTTTAGTCCGCGTTTCTTGCTGAGACTCAAAGCAGTGTAAGTCGATATGATCATGAGACATCAAATAAGCAGCATACTAGAAATAGGATTACAGAACACAGAAATCTGAACAAGCATAGCATATAAAACATGATCCAGAGTGCAGATGGCACATTAGCTATGACCAGATACTTCCCACTGGCAACATCAGGGATTGGACCTGCAGCCTTCTACATGCAAAGCAGATGCTCTGCCCATAAGCCACAGCTCCTCCCAGCCAGAGCGGCATTATGAGCTTGTTGTTACAAGTACAAATTACTTTATGTAGAAATACGTACAGTGAACAATACAATGGAGACTGCCTAGAGTTGGTAACAGCCCTGTAGCTAGAAAATTCTTGGTGCGGGGCACGTTGGGGGGGGGAGAACAGAAGTGGCAGGGAGGCTTTCCTTTCCCTCCCCAGGCCCCCCCCCCCGGCCCCCCCCCCCCCCAGTGGTGGGGAAGCTGGGGAAGGAAAGGGAAGCCTCCCTACCACTTCTGGTCAGTTTCACTGAAGAGAGTGAAACTGACCAGAAGCAGCAGGGCAAGGTGGGGAGGCCACGGAGGGGCAGGGGTAAGGTGTGTGGCACACTGGGGTGGGTGGGAGTCTGCATCCTCCCGGGGTGGGGCTCTGCCCCCAAATGCCCCACCATGGCTTTGGGCCTGATTGGTAAGGCCCATATCTTGCTCAAGATCCAGTGGCTAGATGTTGCACTACCATAATCTTTTGCTTCTTGGATTTTCCTGCCTGCAAAGGAGAATCCAGGAGACGAATGATTTCAGCAGTGCACTAAACCAATGACATTTAGCTCCGGCCTGAGTGCTTTTTTCATTCCTGGTCCTCGTTCCTCATCACCCCACGCTTGTCATCCATCATACAACCACGGTGACGATCCATTTCTCTTTGCAGGAGGAGGTGGCGACAGCCTGGAAGGTCCTTCGGACCGAGCCCATTGTCCTCCGGCTGCGGTTCTCCCTTTCCCAGTACCTGGATGGCCCCGGTGAGTAGCCTCATTGCTGGGCTGTAGAAACTTCCTGGCCTAGTAGCCAACTGTAAGGGAAAGATCATCTCCTCCTCCTTGTCAATTATTTTGTGCGAAGTGCCTAAGGAGTAGGCAAGGTACCAAAAGTATATTCGAAACAGAGAATCCCTGATAATAGATTTTCCTTCAAACTTTGGTATATTAAAAGTTATAGCTGGTATGTAGCACTGATGAAATATGTAATACAGGATATGTGTTAATGATGAAACTATTGTAGAAAATGTCTTAAAATATTTAATGAAGGGGATGTTGGGGAGAAGTATTTCTTTACTTCCTTATTTAATACATTCTAGAAGTATAATAACCTTCGATAAATATGAATTGTTTCATAATCCCATAACACCAGTTTGGTGTAGTGGTTAAGTGCGCGGACTCTAATCTGGGAGAACCGGGTTTGATTCCCCACTCCTCCACTTGCACCTGCTGGAAGACCTTGGGCAAGCCATAGCTCTGGCACAGCTGTTCTTGAAAAAGAGCAGTTTCTGTCAGAGCTCTCTCAGCCCCACTTACATCACAGGGTGTCTGTTGTAGGGAAGGGAAGGGAAAGGAGTTTGTAAACTGCTCTGAGACACCTTTGGGTAGTGAAGGGCGGGGTATAAATCCAATCTCTTCTTCTTCTTCTATAACCGCTTCCTTTCTGTCTGTACCCCTTTTATTTTACTATTTTGTTCTTAAAATAAGAATATGTTATAAAAGAAAAGAATCAGAGAATCCCTGCTCCCTCAGGCTGACAGCCTTGTTTTGCTGGGATACTTATACCCTGCTTTTCTCACCAGTTGAGCACCCAAAGCATCTTATACCATTGTTCTCCCTTCTCTCATTTTGCCCTCACTGCAACCCTATGAGATAGGTTAAGCTGAGTAGAGAGACTGGCCCAAGGTCACCCAACGAGCTTACACAGCAGAGTGGGAATTCGAACCTGCATCTCCCAGCGGCTGGCACTAAACCTGACACCATGCGGTCTTTCAGTCTAAAATGAATGAGAAGGAAATGAGCTAGGGATGCCCTGACCTGGATTGCCCAGGCTAGCCCGATCCCATCAGATCTCGGACACTAAGCAGGGTTGGCCCTGGCTAGTATTTGGAAGGGCGGCCTCCAAGGAATACCATGACGCAGAGGCAGGTGATGGCAAACCACCTTTGAAATGTCTCTTGCCTTAAAAACAAAAGTCTGGGAGTTCCGGTGACTGCGAGACTGCGCAGTCAGACCGAAAAGAGCCTCCGCATCTGTGCTCCAAATAACGCTAAAAAAAGATCAACTAAGGACTCTTAAGATAAGAACTGCTTGTCGGAAGGAATGGGGAGGCCAAAAGGAGGGAAAGCAGCCAAGAAAAATATCAGAGTCTCAACAAACCGAGAGAAACATGCTAACTTCGGATGAAGACTCTCCTCCCCCACTAGAAGCTGAGTCAGACGGTGAAGCTGCTTGCCGACAGACTAAAAGGAAGCGTGAGGACTCTATAACCAAAAAAGACATACAGACTATGTTTGTTGAAATGAAAAAAGAGTTCAAAGACAGCATTACTCCAATCCACCAAAAGCTTGATGCTATGAACTTGAGCCTTACAGACTTGAGGGAGAGAACAGAACAGGCATTGAAGCAGACTGCTCAAAATTCGAAGGAAATAGAGAATTTAAAGACTTTTGAGACTTGGAGCAAGTCCAAAATAATATTATTGGAGACAAAGGCCCGCGAAAAAAAAATCAAGCTTAGGGGAATTTCCCCAAACTTTGCCTTACAGAAAGATCTCGCGGGCTCTTTAAATGAATGGCTCCAAGAATTACTGCAGCTGCCGGCTCCACCAATTTGTCAAGCCTATCGACTGAAGACACCCCAATCAGGCTCCCCCACTCTCATCCCGGACATAATGGCTGAACTGACAGACATCAAAGTAAAGAAAACTATTTTAGAAGCTGCAAGGATGAATAATGGACTTAAACTGCAAGACACCCAGATTCAAGTGTATCAGGACCTCCCACCAGAGATTTTAACAGCACGTCGTACCTTGAAACCTATTACACAACGTCTGGCAGAAAAACACATCAGGTACCGTTGGCTTCCACTAGGACATTTATATATAAATCACAAGAACAGAACATTTACTGTCTATGATGTCAAGTCAGGTGAAGAAATGCTAAGAGTTTTAGAAGATGTGTCTACATAAGAAACTCCAATAGGGATGGACTCTAAGTTTTGGATACAAAAACTCTAAAGAGCCTCTGAAAAGGGAAAAAACATCTGTTGGAACCCTCAAGAGAGAGAGGAAAAAAGGTTTAATTTTCAGATAATATGCCTTAATATTATTAGTTTTTAAATATATAGATAGCAAGGTATAATAGGAGCACAGCGGGTAAGGCACTCGGCAGGAACTTCCCTATTACCTCCCATAGGGCGGGGTCCTAGGGAATGACCCCCTTTGGAATTTTCCAAAGACCCACAGGGAGGTGGCAACCTCCAAGGACTCCACCAAGAAGGTTAAAAATTTTGTGGCCGTTGTTTTAGTTTTTCACTAAGAGTAATTAAAAGGCATAAAATAATATAGTTAAGATACATGAGAAACAGCTTGGGATAAATTTAAAAAATCTCTTTATTAATTATGTATTATTTGGGCATGAGTTCAAGGAGAAGGAATAAAATAGTTTCTTAAGCTACCACTGGTAATGACGAAGGAAATTCTTTTTGTACAAAATATTAAAAAAAAAAAAAAAAAAAGTCTAGCTTGCCACCTAGTGGTGCATAACGCTAAATGAGCAGAACTTCTGATCAGCCCGCAATTGACACTATGGTTTGATAACACTACGTGAATTAATACCAGAAATGTATAAGAGTTAAGAAATATCCATTTGGAAAGTTTTTGTGACCATATGAAGGCATGTCTGTATGAGGTTTGATGTGTGAAGAAGTCGTCACGAAACGGAACATCAACTCCAGGGAATTTCGTCCATCTTATTGATTCATCTGTATAAAATAATGTTATTAGTGAATATGTGATTTGTAATTTTGTATCCATTCAGATATTATATTAAGCTTTGATTGCACAGATTGCAGTAATTCTTTTTCTATTTCTTCTTATATTACACACATGGCCATGTGATAATTAATTAGGGCTGGTTGTGGAAAGGGATGCCTTTGTGTATAGGGAGAAAGCAAGAAGTACCTCGAAGTAACCAAAGCATCCCTCAGAATTAAAGTTAGACTGCAGACGATTCTCATTTGTTCTCCTGTGTCTTGTGTTTCTTTGACCCCTTTCCCAGGGAGTGTGAACTGTGTGACTAAAGAGGGACAGCATGTCCCCCCCCCCATATGTGTTTAGATATCTTAATGGATTTCTTTGGTCTCTTTCTCCAGAACCGTCCATCGAAGTTTTCCAGCCGTCCAACAAGGAAGGGTTTGGACTGGGCCTACAGCTGAAGAAGTACGTGGGGTGGAATGGGGGAAAATCACAAATTTTAGCTGTGTTCAAAGTAGGGGTCCAAATTATTACCAACAACTGTAGTAGAAACTCTTTTTCTTTATTGTTAGATCGAGATCAAGGAAAGCATCTCTTCCTAAGAATGTTTAAAATGCTGACACTGTGACGTTGTTTGGTACTTATAGCAAGTCTTACATCACAAGAAGGCAGTAACATATAACCAATCAATGCATGCGTGCTCAGCACTGCACTAACTAGTCTAAACCAATAGGAAAGCTATCTACGCTTCCATCTTCACATACTTTAAAGAATACCGCTACCTTTCTATGGTCTGCTACAAGCACAACATAAATTGCTGGCTAGTTTGGTGTAGTGGTTAAGTGCGCGGACTCTAATCTGGGAGAACCGGGTTTGATTCCCCACTCCTCCACTTGCACCTGGCTGGATGACCTTGGGCAAGCTGTCCTTGAAAAAGAGCAGTTTCTGTCAGAGCTCTCTCAGCCCCACCTACCTCACAGGGTGTCTGTTGTGGGGAGGGGAAGGGAAAGGAGTTTGTAAGCCGCTCTGAGACTCCTTTGGGTAGTGAAGGGCGGGGTATAAATCCAATCTCTTCTTCTTCTTTTACCTCACAGGGTGTCTGTTGTGGGGAGGGGAAGGGAAAGGAGTTTGTAAGCCGCTCTGAGACACCTTTGGGTAGTGAAGGGCAGGGTATAAATCCAATCTCTTCTTCTTCTTCTACTATACTTAAAAAAAAGGTTATTTTGGGTTAATTTGCCTTATGAGTCGAGGAATGCAGACTTTTGGAGACTTCAGCTAAAAGCACAGATAACGGGGCTGGATCGTCACTGGGTGAAACGTTCCCCTCAGTTCTTTACTTGGCCTACGCCGACATGGCTACCCTATGGCTCATTCATCTGTCCCCCTTTTCCCCTTCAGGGTCTTCCCCCCCCCATGCAATGAAGAACAACAAGGACCTCAATAGACAGGGAAGATCTTAACACTTTTCCAGGGAAAGGAAGGGGCCCTTGCAGTTTGTGTAACTGAATGCAAATTTAAAACCACATTCCTTTGCAAGGAGGCTCTTTTTGGGTATTTTTTTATTTTTGTGTGTGCGTGTGTGTGCCTGGCGGTCATGGCGACCTCTGGCGACTCCTACTGGGGCATGGAGGATGTTCAGAGAAGTGGTGTGATAGCCTGCCTCCGCCTCCCGGCCCTGGTATTCCTTGGAGGTCTCCCATCCAAATATTTGCCAGGGTCGGCCCTGCTTAGCTTCCGAGATCTGATGAGATCAGGCTAGCCTGGGCTATCCGGGTCAGGATAAGGAGGCATTTTTTAAAAACAGAAGCAAACTCTGGTCAGGTACCCCATGTAGAGAGATACCAGTTCTAACCTTGTGAGTTTGAGCTCACTCAGCTCTCAGTTCTGCCCTTTTGCATACTTTTGGAAACCACTGAAGGGGGAAAGGCGGCCTACTGGCCATGATTCCCAGTGGGCGGAGAGAATCTTGTCTCTGTTCCTTGGTGTCTCTGTGGTGAAAATTTGATATACTTTGCATTGGAAGTCAGAGCTGAAAGCTTGCTTGATTTTCCATTTTACTGCCAGCTAGGACAGCGGTGCATGGCCCTAGTCCAGAGGTCCCCAACTTGGTCCCTGTGGGCGCCACGGCATCTACCAACACTTTTTCTGGCACCCAGTGAGTGTTTTTTAGGAGGTGGGTGGGGCCAAGGTAGGGCTTTTGCCCTGCAGGGCTTCCGATCGGCCATTGGAGAGCTGATTGGCTGTGCAGATTTTTTAAAAACTCGGCGGCGGCGGCAGCCGCCATCACAGAAGTTAAGCCACCATCGACACTGTGCTGCTGAAGTTAAGCCGTAGCAATCATTTTATTTATTTATTTATTTATTTATTTATTTATGCGATTTCTACCCCGCCCTCCCTGCACGGGCTCAGGGCGGCCTACAACAATGGCACCAGTTGCCAATAAAACAACATACAACAGTACAGTACTTAATAAAAATATAAAATCCTTCAACTGCTACGTTCCAGCTCTCTGTCGTCCTGCGTCACTCGATGGAAATGAGCAGATGCTAAAAACCGAGGGCTGGACTCGTTGATGGTAATAGTGGAGGGGAGGCTCCTAGTTGAAAGCCTGGCGGAAGAGCTCCGTCTTGCAGGCCCTGCGGAACTGCAAAAGGTCCTGCAGGGCCCTGATCTCTTCCAGAAGCTTATTCCACCAGTGAGGAGTCGCCACCGAAAAAGCCCTGGCCCTTGTCGCGGCGAGCCTGGCCTCCTTGGGGCCAGGGAAGGTCAGCCGGTTCTGTAACCCCAATCTCAGTGCTCTCTGGGGTGTATGGTGGGGAAAGGCAGTCCCGCAGGTACGTCGGGTGGCTCCGCCTCCTGCGGCAGTCATTTTATGACCGATGTTTTGTTGCTGCACCCACCATTCCAGATGTGTGCAGTGGCTCCAAAAGGTTGGGACCCCTGCCCTGGTCTTTTTCTCCGTTGATTAAAAGTGGAGCTCTTTCCTCTCAGGTGGTCCGCCCCTTCCGTCCTGTTGCTTTTCTTTTCCCTTCGGTTGTATCGTCTCCCGTGCCTTCGGTTCCCTCTCTGAAGTGTCCTTTCTCTCCTTCCTTCCCTTCTGTCCTCATGTCTTCCTTCCGGGCTTATTCGTTTGAATCTTAAGAAACTTTATTGACACAAAAATAGGAATACAACGCAAGAAAAAGTCCTTGAACTTAGTTGTATAGCAAACGCTCCTACTAACCAGGGCTCTAGTCCAAGGGATAATAGGGCCAGAAGGGGCAAGCGAAAGAAGGCTGGTCTAAAGAGCTGTAGTCCTCATAATGATTTCACGAGTGTTAAATCCATTGCTGCAATCGAGACCATTCCGGTGGGATGAATTGTTGATGAGATTAAAAAAAATCACGTAGTGGGGACCCCTTTTCATCAAAATTGGTCTTGCTAGGGACTAATAGGTAAAGGTCAAGGTCCCCTTGCTCGAAAGCCAGTCGAATCCGACTCTAGGGTTGCGGTGCTCATCTCCGTTTCAAAGCCGAAGAGCCAGCGCTGTCTGGCGACGTTTCCGTGGTCATGTGGCCGGCATGACTAAACACCAAGGCGCACGGAACGCTGTTACCTTCCCACCGAAGTGGTACCTATTTATCTACTTGCAATTTCTTGCTTTTGAACTGCTAGGTTGGCAGGAGTTGGAACTAGAAATGGGAGCTCACTCCATCATGCGGCACCTGGGTCTTGAACTGCTGAACTACTGACCTTCCACAGCCTGCAGCGTCTTAACCACTTGAGCCACCGCAGCTCCGTTGCGTTCTATTAATTTTATCGGCGATGTGTTCCGTAATATATTGGTCCCATAATTTTCGGAACCAAGCATCCAAAGCTGGTGCAGATCGGTTTTTCCAAAGGGAAGCTATTGTTGTCCTCGCAGAGACTATCAAAGTATCTATTACATCTTTATGCACCGGAGAGGGACGGTCATGTGGCCAATAATTAAGAAACAAAACTTATGGTGGAAGAGGAATCTCCACACCTGTTATTAATTTTATATGATTTCCTTTCTGTTGATGTTGCCAAATCTCTTGGGGTGGGGGACCTCGGAATGGGTGAGAGCTCTGCCACGTGGGCCAAACCCAGTCTGCCAACCGCCTTCTGCTTTCCCCCTAGGATCCTGGGCATGTTCACATCCCAGCAATGGAAACACCTCAGCAACGATTTCCTCAAGACCCAGCAGGAGAAGCGGCACAGCTGGTTCAAGGCCAGCGGCACCATCAAGAAGTTCCGGGCTGGCCTCAGTATCTTCTCGCCCATCCCCAAGTACGGCTGCTCTCGTCCCGCTGGGTGGTTTCTCTCTCTCTCTCTCTCTCTCTCTCTCTCTCTCTCTCTTTTTGCCCCTCCCCTTGTCTGCTGGCGGGCAGCGGAATCACCTGGTAAGGCCGTCTTGCAAGTTCCACCGCAGGGGCTTCCGGCACCAGTCCTGTGTCACTGAAAAGTGTACGCCATTTCCTCTTAAGCCCAGCAGGTTGGGATGCCAACATGCCTGCTGATCTCCTGGAATTACAACCAATCTCCAGACTACGGAGATCAGTTCTGCTGGAGAAAATGGCTGTTCTGGAGGGTGGACCCCATAGCATTAGACAGAGATTCATGGAGGATAGGTAGGGCTATCAGTGGCTGCTCGCCATGGTGACTAAAGGGAGCCTCCACATTCTGAGGCAGTCAACCTCTGAATCCTAGTGCCAGGAGGCAACATCAGGGGAAGGCCTCGGCCTCTATGCCCTCTTGTTGGCCCTCCAGAGGAACTGGTTGGCCGCTGTGTGTGAGAGACAGGATGCTGGACCAGATGGACCCTCACTGGTCTGATCCAGCAAGGCTCTTGTGTTTCCATGTGTGTAGGCCAGAAGGAAGCCCCGTCCTCACCGTGAGGCGAGAGACTAAATCGCTTTGTGTCTGCAGGTCTCCCAGCTTCCCCGTCATCCAGGACTCCATGCTGAAGGGCAAGCTCGGCGTGCCGGAGTTGCGGGTCAACCGTCTCGTGAACCGCTCCATTTCCTGCACCATGAAGAACCCCAAGGTGGAGGTGTTCGGCTACCCCCCCAGCACCCAGGCAGGTGTCGCCCCATTCAACATCCTGGTGGGTTTCCTCTTTAGCCTCGTCCCTTGGGGCCGGCTGTGGGTTTGTGCTCGGGGATGGCTCGGGCTTTTCCTTCCGGCAAGGAGAGTGGCACTCCTTGACAACCTGTGGGATCATGCGCTTTGCCTCTGGCTGTGTGCACTGCCCCTCACACTTGTGTTGGGAGAACCGTGTGTTCAAAGTCTATCCATATTTAAAAGCAACACTCCACGCAATCAGAAAGCTAGCCTCTCAGGGCTGGAACCCTCCTCCCTGATGTGCTAGATTTCTGCATGCAGGGGGAGTCTTCCTTACAAGGGTCTGTGGGAATGGTAGTTCATTAGTCTCCATCAGCAATGAGCACAGGTAGGGGAAGAAATGTCCGTTTCTCCCCCAGGGTGTGGGATCAAAGTGACCTCTTGGTTCTGCCAGAACATGCCAGCAATGCTTCTTCTTTCCATATGCGGATCCCTAATATGCGGGAAGATTAGATCCAGCTGTCCCGCCCCAGGGGATTCATAGTCGGGCCTTGTACTTCTTAAACAGTTCAGCTTCATCGCTACGGAAGATAGACTCGCACTGTTCATTTGGGTGCATCCCTGGGATCCAGGACATTCTCTTAGCTTCTCTACAAATAGACCATTGGGACTGGGGTGATACCGCAAGGAAGGCACTGGTTTGCTGCAAGGGCTCAGCTCATTCCTAGCCATCAGCTGCTTGGGAGATGACGGGCATCCCCGTTGGGGCCACCACCAACCAGGTCCTTACTTCGCCAGCAGCAATGCAGGCCCAGGAAGAGATGGGTGTAATCTGCTGGGGACGGGACAGAACCTTGAACTTGGCCCGTTTCAGTCCTCAGTCTGGATGACGCTTCCAAGATCTCGATCCTGCCAGCGTCCAGAGTAACCAGGTCAAGCTCGCCTACAGCACCAGGGCAGCACCTGTTTCATTTTACTTCCTTCCCCAAGCTTCTTCTCCACTTTATCCTCCCAACAACCATGCAAGGTAGGTTAGGCTGAGGGGGTCGACTGACCGAAGGTCGCCCAGCGAGCTTCCACGGCACATGGGGATTCGAACCTGGAGTCTCCCAGATGTCATGATACAGGATTACAACATTGTGCACGGGCTAGAGAAGGTAGAGAAAGAAATACGCGCATGGGATGGAGAAGATAGAGAAAGAAGTTCCTTTCTCACAATGCAAGAACTCGTGGGCACTCAACGAAATGAATGAGCAGTAGGCTTAGAACAGATAAAAGGAAGTGCTTCGGTGCCCAAAGAGTAATTAACATGTGGAATTCACCGCTGCAGGAAGTGGTGGCAGCTACAAGCATAGACAGCTTCAAGAGGGGATTGGAGAAACATATGGATCAGAAGTCCATCAGTGGCTGTTAGCCACAAGGTATAGATGGAACAATCTGTCTGGGGCAGTGAAGCTCTGTATTCTTGGTGTTAGGGGGGGCAACAGTGGGAGGGCTTCTGGAGTTTTGGCCCTGCTGGTGGATGTTCTGATGGTACCTGGTTTTTGGCCACTGTGTGACACAGAGTGCTGGACTGGATGGGCCATTGGCCTGATCCATCATGGCTTCTCTCATGTTCTTAAGACACTGTAACCACAACACCAAGCTGTCTCCAAGACCTATTTCTGACCACCGTTCCTTCCTCTCTCTGACCATATAAAAATGGAAATAATTTTAATAAAGGTCTTTAGCTTAGAGAGCTGTTTGCAAGCTTCTGTTTTCCCAGTCTCAATAGGAGGACCTAGCATTGGAATCTCGGTGGGTTTGGGACCAGTTTTCCAACAACTGTGTTGCATGGAATGCAGGTTACAAGCTCCCTCTAAACTGTGGAGTCTTGGGAGCAGAAATTCTACGTTGTGAGCTGCTGGCTTTAAAATTGTGAGCCGGTGATTTCGCTACTGCATAAATTAGTTTGCCCTAGAACCACCCTTCCTGAGCTAAGACTAAAATGTGCGAGCCAGAGGCTAAAAAACCGTAAGCTAGCTCACACTAACTCAGCTTAGAGGGAGCACTGGTTACATAACCTGTTATACTTCCCTACACAAAGTTGATGAACGGTTAAAGCAGAAGGCAGGGCTCTCGACTGCACATCTATGTGCATTACCTTCGTGTAGGAAATTGTAACAGCTGACGTAAAGCTTATCCACGACAATTCTTGATGTAGCCTGATATTCAGGCCCCATGTTTAAAATTTTTAAATCATAGTATTGTGTGCACCATATAATAAATATATTTCCTTGGATACAAATTTCATTTGCTGTCGCTTGACCCTTGAGGCGTTCTTGGGGGGAAAATACGTTCAAGGAGCGATGAACGAACAGGTACAAAGTAATGTGGCCGGGCTTTCCCTGTCGCTTTCTCTGCAGGTTGGCGGCCACTGCAAAAACATTCCGACCTTGGAATACGGCTTTCTGGTCCAGGTGAGCAATTGTCGTTCCAATTCTCAGTCCATCAATTCGGTTTTTTTATCCTGTCCTTCCTCTGAAGAGCTCAGGGCTATGCACATATTATTGTGAGGTAGGAGGGGGGCGGAGGAAAAGGGTGGGGACTTGAACCAAGTCTCCCGAATCCCAGTCGAACACTCTTAACATCACCCCTGCACTATGATGGCACTGAATCTGACCATAAAGGTAGTTCTTTCCATCTGCAGTGACTTCAGCTTAGCTGTAATCACACAGAGGGCTTGGAGGAGGGAGCGGAGTGACAGACACATGTGCTGTCCAATGAGTGTTCAGAGTTCCAAGCATACATTAGCTTGGTGTATTCTGTACAACACAGCAAGGGGGGAGGTCTGTTATTTTCCCCAACAATGGGAGGAAGGGAATGAATGAATGAATGTGAATGAATGAATGAATGAATGAATGAATGAATGA